GAACATGGTCCCATAGGCTTCTGCAACTCTTTTTTGTAAGAATTGCGTATACAAAGTTGAAAGGAGGGAACTCCGCTGGAATCCATCTCTTCATTGCCAAGCATTCACCGGAACCAGCAATTATCTTGTCCTTGTTTTGCCTATTCACTTCAAACGTTGGAAGAGGATTACTACCCATTTTAGTCAATTCAGGATGGAATTTACCAGAGAGCTGGTTGTTTGCCACATTAAACCACAAAAGGCTCGTGCAGTTGCCAATCTCTCGAGGGATTTCTCCTGATAGAGAGTTATTTGCAAGCATTAACCACAATAGAGAGGTCAAATTTCCAAATGAAGCTGGTATTGAACCGGTCAGCCTGTTAAAGGAGAGATCAAGTGCTTGAAGCCCCGGCATGTTCCCGTACTCCTGTGGTATAACGCCACTGAAGTTATTATAGGCAAAAATCAAGAACTTCAAACTCTGGATCTGGGAAATTTCAGCAGGTAACTGTCCCGAGAAATTGTTGTAGCCCAAATCTAGCCTTAAAAGATTAGGTAACTTGAGGATGTTGGAAGAATGGATTCCTCCAACGTATTGGTTTGCATGCAGGACTAGATACTTTACTTGAGTAAATCTCCCAAATATTTCTTGAATGTCTCCTCCAAATTTGTTTCTGCTCAAATCCAGAAAGACCAAGTTGGTCAAGTTTAGGAGAGTTTCAGGTATGTCTCGAGAAAATGTATTATTTCCCAAGTATAAACCTCTGAGAGAGGATATGGAACCTATCTCAGCTGGGATGTTCCCTTTGAATTTGTTTCCCCACAGATTCAATACACTTAGATTCTGGCAATTCGAAACTTGGCCTGGGAATTCCCCACCAAATTTGTTCCCAGATAAATCCAACACTTCCAAAATGCAGTTCCCCCTGAACATGGAAGCTGAGATATTCCCGGAGAGTTGATTATCAGAAACTGAAAACTGGATCGTCCTTCCAAAACCAGCCCACACTTGTCCACTGAACCCATTGGAACTGAAGTCAACATACTTGAGATTCCTACAGCCGTTGAAGATGTCATCGATTCTGCCAGTAAAGTTGTTTGTGGACAGATTTGCAACAACCAAGCTGTTGCAGAACAGTGGGAAGCTAGACTGAATATCACCCGCAATCCTATTCAACGAGAGATCAAGAACCTCAAGATTTGACAAACCAGGTAAGCTAAGCTTTCCATCAAGAATATTGTGAGAAAGATTAAGATGCTTTAGGTTGTGACAACGGCTCAGGTCATCTGGAATTGACCCTTCGATAGTGTTCCTCGATAAATCAAGATACGTGAGCTGCGTTAAGGCCGAGAAGTTGCCGAATAAAGCACCTGAAATGGTGGAGTCACTTAGATTGATCCCTGTAACTCTACTTCCCGGAGGTGTACATATGATCCCAGGCCAGTGACACACATCTTGCTTTTCCATTTTCCATTCGGTATATATCCCTCGGTTCTGTGGGTTCCGTGATTCGAGATACGATTTCAGACTTAACAAGGCTTCTCTATCACTTTCCAGAGAATCACCAACCACTACTACAGCTGCCATGGAAGAAAAAAAAACAAAAAAAAAGGAAACCTTTCAGATACCTAAAAAAACTCATCAACAAGATCAAAACAGAGTAAAAAACAAATTGAAAACTTGGGATTCCATAACACACATTCTCAAACGTCATCTCTCGAAATCAGCGAAACCCCAAAACCCGTTGAAGTAAAAGAAACAGAAAACCAAAACTCAATACTCAAAGCAGAGAACACAGTACAATTCCCAAAAGAAAAGAAGAAAACTATCAACCGAAAGAGAAACTGAGAAGAAGCGAAAAGGCCACCTGTGAAGAGAAGGAAGAGTAAGAAGCAAACAAAGCAAAGAGACTCAGGAGAATCATCATCCGCCATGAGCACACGTGTCACAAGAGTCATCGTCGTCGTCCTCCTCCACCTTCGTCTGCGTCTTTACCGTAGGCGTCTTCGTTTTGGTTAGCGATGTTGTTCCTCAACAAGGTGTGGAAATTAACGGGGAAGAAGAGGAATTTCATGGAAATTCATGTGAAAAGAGGTTAGAGAAGAAAAGAAGAAAAAGGGAAGTTGGAAAAAAAACAAACCAGCCCGCACGTAGACCAAGCAACTGACAAATTATAACACTTTGAACACTATCATCACACAGAAGGAGATTTATTCCTCCTTATTTATTAGACTTTTCCTACGAAATCAAATTAATTCCGAAAAGGTGAAATTGAATCATCATGTATTATGCTGATTTTGACCCAAAAATAAAAATAAAAATTTAAACGTATTTATTACGTTACTTATACCAGTCTTATCAAATTTTGTTTCTTAAGTAAAAGAAAAAAAAAACCGCATTTGTTGAACATTTTGAAAAATGTTTGAAACCAAAACATTTTATCACTAAAGCCTAAAACAAAATTATATCGAATAAAAATAGAGTGTTATATGACTAAGCATACAATTGTCACTCCATATTAGAGAAAAAAATAGTAACACTATTGTTTTTTTATTTTTTTTATTCACCATTTAGCTTTTCTTTTATTAATTTGTACGGGTACCACTTGCGCACTCAAGAACTTACTTATCCTAGTGGGGGATCATTTAAGAAATTTTCGACTAAATATCGAAAATGTATCTTAAGTTTTTAGAAATTTTTAATCGCGTGATCTGGTTGCAAAAGATTAATAATTTATTGTTAAGTCGAGGGAAAATCAAAAAATTAGGTGCGCAGTTGTGACATCTAAGTTGACCGGCTCAGAAGAACTTGACTTCGTGTCAGAGTTGGTAAGTTCGTTCATATTAAAAGCTGTTGCTTAATGTAATTAAAATCTAAATCACGTTAACACATATGGTGAATTTGACTAATTGAGTTTTGAGGGTATGTATCTAATCTAACATAATGTAAGATCTACACAGAATAATATGTAATTAGACATATTTGGACGATTAGTAAAGAGAAAGAACTTGGCATAAATTTGATTTTTTTTTCCAGAATTAGAGATATTTTACTAAAATAGTTTACAAACAATATATTTATATACATGTAACTGGTGGGTCATATGTGATTCATATGGACGGGGCATTAGTTGACTTACTTAGTGCTTTGACCAATGTTTTTTTAAATCATTGTTAATCATCAAATTTCATATTTGTTCGTTTTTTGTGTGTTTTATTTATTTATTTATTCTCCCGTTATTAGTTTTTTTTTTAAATAAGTCAAACGCGTGTATTATTTTACATTGATTAGTCTAAGTATGCAATTAGTTGAATAGTATAAGGTATAAACACTTCGTGACAGACCATTGAATATTTTTTTTTTTCGAATTAGAAAATTCAAAGGCTTACTATTCTCTCTTATCAACAGAACAATATAAAATAAGAATTGTAATTAATTACTAGTATTATATTATTTGTAACTGCAAGAAAAAAAAAACTGTAAGAAAGTGGCTGTTACATTTTTGTTCAGAAACCAAATCAATCTTTTAAATCTGTATATGTATAGAACTATAGATGATGCAACAAGATGTTAGGATAAGCATCTAAGATTAAGGTCTATCCTATTCTAATTAGGATAATGTGGTTTTACAGTTTTTCCATTTTAGTTAGAATAGTCTACTTATGTTCAGGTTTATTGAGTTTTAGGTTGGTAAATAATAACATAGAGCTTCTGTCTTTATTTTGTGTTTCTGAGTAGAAACAACATACATAATCTTATCAGATTTTAGTAGTCTTTTTAAGTTAAAAAAATCGAGTGTATACAATTGTAGTTGCAACTAATCATACTAAGATATTGTATCATTGTCTACAGCCACAAATGTTTCAAACTCCTTGATTACTCTTCCAAATACCATGTTGTGGCTTCTGACACATGAACTCGTCATGATCTAGAACTTCTGATTTTTTTCAAAGTGGTACCAATATTAAAGTTTTGAATACGCACCAACTGAAACGGAGAAGAAAAAAAAATGGTCCATTCAACACTAAGGACGTGTGAATGGTAATGAGCCAACATTGTTCATGCCAAAAAAAAAAAACAAACTAAGGCGACCAAAGTTTTACTTTGCAATTGGTAAAGTCCATGCCACTTGAAAGCGACCTTCTTTGTGCCGCGTTCAGGGTTTTTTCTCTCCGTACCCATTTGCTGTTTAATGATGTTTCCATTGGGTCAAATTCAACAATATATATATATCACCTTAAACAAAAAAAAAACAACTTGCACACGACACCAAATAGGCAAATAGGATCCAATTAGAGAAAGTATTCTAGGTACTAAAAATATCCCACTCGATATAGTCCAACTCTTTTAGATTTTAGAACCTAGCCAACCTTGTCAAATCCTATAATATGATGGGATGGGACCAAACCCGAGTTCTTGAAGCTTGAAACCTTTTTAAACAGTGGTTTTGAGAGGGAACCTTTTGCATAGCTCAATGTATATTTTACAAGGAATATAATAAGCAAAGCGTGAAGCATCTTTTTATTTCGTTGTTTCTTCCTATTTTAAGCAAGCATGAAGCAAAGCATTTACATATCAGAAATTGTCAATTGATAGGAAATCGATAAAAAAATAGACAATCAGATGATGGAGAATTATGTATTGTGTTTGTGTGGCGGTTCACCGACTGATATTTCTCGTTTATTGACAAACCATAGATACATGAATTTTTAGTAAGTCATAAATTTTGTAATCCAAGTTTCACCCATAGCTATTTTTTACACTTCTTATCTTGTGCTTTCACTGCCTCAAATGTCTCATTATGAGATATACTTACTGTGGAGTCTAATACAATCATATAGGAACGCATGATGTAGAAAGAAAAACCTCATGTTTAAAAGAGAAGCACTTTGCAATTAAAGGAGTTAAATGCAATTTCTAGAAATAACCAAAATTATATGTTATTTTACAAATAGTCCTTCCTTCTTTCTTCTTCTTCCCAAGAGTTCCATCTCGAGTAAATTAGCTGTGCACTTCTCCGATCTCTCTCTCAGTCCAATCGTGCTTTCCGCATCCTCAAACGTAAGTTTTCTTCCATTTCTGAGTCGATTTCCAAAGTATGTCGAATTAAGCAAAAAAAAAAAAAAGAACTGATTGTTCCCTTTGGCTTAGTCGGGATATAATCGCATAGTTTTAGAATTGGGAATCGGAAAATTTTACTTGATGTTTAGGAAACGGAACCTAGTTTTGGATTTGTTGCGCCGAGTTGATCGATGCGAGGTAGAAGCCCTAATTTCATGGGGCTTATGGAGTCGCGCAGTTTCCACACTTCCCAAATCGGCTCAGCTTGCAACAGATGATATAGACATTGGTAGTAAGCAAACTGAAATGTTTTCATTAGCTGGGGAATTAGCTTCTCTTGTAGAGGAATCTGCTCATGTTGATTATGATAGCAAACCCACAAGTCGTATGGAAATGAAGCGATCTCTTGAACTCCGTTTAAAGAAACGAGTCAAGGAGCAGTACATTGATGGCAAGTTCAGTGACCTGTTGAAGAAGGTGATTGCGAGACCTGATACTCTTCGGGATGCTTATGATTGTATTAGGCTTAACTCCAATGTTTCTATATCAGAAATAGATGGAAATGTTGCGTTTGATTCTATCGCGGAAGAGCTCTCTAGTGGGGTGTTTGATGTTGCTTCCAATTCTTTTTCGGTTACGGCCAGAGATAAAACAAAAGAGGTCCTTTTCTTGCCTAGTGTAGCTCTTAAAGTTGTCCAAGAGGCTATCAGAATAGTCCTGGAAGTTGTTTTCAGTCCTCATTTTTCTAAGATTTCACATAGTTGCCGAAGCGGAAGGGGACGTGCGTCTGCATTGAAGTACATCAGCAACAACATTTCTCATTCTGATTGGTGTTTCACTTTGAGCCTGAACAAAAAACTTGATTTTTCTGTTTTCAAGGACTTGCTCTCTGTAATGGAGGAAAAAATAGAAGACAATAGTTTAAGTATCTTACTTTCTTCTATGTTTCAATCCCGGGTGCTCAATCTCGAGTTTGGAGGATTTCCCAAGGGACATGGTCTTCCACAAGAAGGGGTGTTGTCCCGTGTATTGATGAACATATATCTTGATCGGTTTGATCATGAATTTTATAGAATCTCAATGAGGCATGAAGCCCTTGATCTTAATTCAACGACCGGTGAAGATAGCCCAAGCTCAAAACTTCGATCTTGGTTTAGGAGGCAGGCAGGAGAACGAGATTTGAAAAGTACTACGGAGCAGGACACTGCTCTCAGAGTTTATTGTTGCAGATTTATGGATGAGATATTTTTCTCTGTGTCTGGTTCCAAGAAAGCTGCGGTTGATATCAGATCTGAAGCTGTAGGTTTCTTACGGAACTCACTGCATTTGGAGATCATAGATGAAACAGACCCGTCACCATGTGAAGCGACCAGTGGGCTTCGTGTTTTGGGTACCTTGGTTAGGAAAAATGTTAGGGAGAGTCCCACTGTCAAAGCTGTTCACAAGCTAAAGGAGAAAGTTAGGCTTTTTGCATTGCAGAAAGAAAAGGCATGGACCTTAGGTACAGTTAGAATTGGAAAAAAATGGTTAGGACATGGACTGAAGAAGGTCAAAGAGTCTGAAATCAAAGGCTTGGCGGATCATAACTCTACCTTGAGTCAAATATCTTGCCACAGAAAGGCAGGCATGGAAACAGATCACTGGTATAAGGTCTTGCTTAGAATATGGATGGAGGAAGTGCTAAAAACTTCTGCAGATAGAAGCGAGGAGTTTATCTTGTCCAAGCATGTTGTAGAACCTACTGTTCCTCGAGAACTAAGAGACGCATTTTACAAGTTCCAAAACTCTGCTGCGGCATATGTTTCTTCAGAGACGGCTAATGTGGAAGCGCTTTTGCCATGTCCACACTCTCATGATAGACCTGTTTTCTTTGGTGATGTTGTTGCCCCCACTAATGCTATAGGAAGACGTCTTTATCGCTATGGATTAATAACAGCCAAGGGTTATGCTCGTTCAAATTCTATGCTTATTTTGCAAGATACTGCCCAAATAATTGATTGGTTTTCAGGACTTGTTCGCCGATGGGTGATTTGGTATGAAGGCTGCAGTAATTTTGATGAGATAAAGGTTCTCATCGATAATCAGGTGAGAATGTCATGCATCCGTACTTTGGCAGCAAAATATCGAATACATGAAGATGAGATAGAGAAACACCTTGATTTAGAACTGAGCATGATACCCTCTGCTGAAGATATAGAACAGGAAATACAACATGAGAAACTAGATTCTCCTGCTTTTGACAGGGATGAACATCTAACGTACGGTCTTTCCAATAGTGGTTTGTGTCTACTGTCTTTAGCTCGATTAGTGAGTGAGTCAAGGCCTTGCGATTGTTTTGTAATTGGTTGCTCGATGGCTGCACCTGCTGTTTATACTCTACATGCGATGGAGAGACAGAAGTTTCCTGGTTGGAAAACTGGATTTTCTGTTTGTATTCCTTCTAGCTTAAATGGAAGGAGAATAGGGCTGTGTAAGAAACACCTCAAAGATCTCTATCTAGGTCAAATATCACTCCAAGCCATTGACTTTGGAGCTTGGAGATGATTACATTCTCTCCACTACAAGACTCCTGCAAGTTGTTAATATATCTTCCCAGGTGAACCCTGAATGGTTTTAGTCAGTTTGTTGAGCTCTGTGTACTGATGTCTAGCAAATCTAAGGTCCAGTGATTATTGGTCCTCAACTGTTTTAATTTTGAAAGGCCTTCTGCTGTATCACAGTTTGCATACCCTCAGAATCTAAGACCATGGCATTAGCTGGTCTTGTGGGCCAATTCTAGGTGAAATGGTTTCGGTGGCTTTCACAATATATAACTTCCTTCACTTTTGAGTTGAATCACATTTGACGGTGTGTTCAAATGATTAGCTTCTTGAATCTTTATAATTTTTTTCTCTCACGGTTGATTCACTCTGCTGCAGGTTTTGAACGTCACAAATGGAATTAGCAGATCGAGCAGTTGGGCTTCTACTATCTTCGATCAGCTTATCCATATTCACATACTATACTTTCTGGGTCATCATCCTGGTAAGAGTGAACACCATATAAGTCATTTGCTCTTCCTTAAAAAGACATAATCAGTTTGATGTACCATTGTCAATTTGTCATATAAACGATTTGTATATTACAAGGAAAAAGCTCAGAGTGTTATAATTTACCTTTGTACAGCCATTTGTAGATAGTGATCACTTCATCCACAAGTACTTTCTGCCCCAAGACTATGCCATTCTCGTACCTGTGTTTGCCGGCATAACCCTCCTCTCTCTTCTTTCCGTATTCATCGGCATGGTCATGCTCAAATCAAAAAAGAAGAAGGCGTAATTTCAACATTAGCCTACTTCGAAAAAGTTGTGATTATTTTCTCAAGTTGTGCCTGTACTTTGTTTTGGTCTTTGAGGAGATTTAGTTCTGAACTTTAAATGGTGTAGTTGAACCGTGCGAGACTATGTCATATTGTCTGATTATTATTTATCACTCAAGGTTTTCTTTCCTTCATATTTTTTTTTTAATCTCTGTTACTAATCTGATCATCATTACAAAACACTATGTTATAATGGATATTTAGGCTCCTTACATTATGTTATAACAATGTAGAGATGATTTCTACCAAAAAAAAAAAACAATGTAGAGATGATAATGATTTAAGTGAATGATGACGTTTTTCGAATATAATCTTGACTATTGTTTTTTTGTATCATCTTTTGTCTTTTGTGCTATCTGCATATGGCAGCTTACTGATCTTTTTCTTTTTCTGGTTTTGTCGTCTTTGGAGACAAAAATAAAATAAAACTGGTTGATACAAATTTTCGTCTTGTTTCCCCATAACTTTAGTCCAATTCAAGAATGAAATTATTCTCCCTGAGGAAGTGACCTTAAATCATATGTATAAATTGAGTGCTTAAATCTTGAGAACAATATGCCAACAAAAAAAGAATGTTGAGGGGAAAAAATCATATTATTATGAGAAATAGTAGTAGTAGTCATCATAGTCAAAAGAGCTGGCAAAAGCATTAGAGACACACAAGTGAGTGAGTTTCTCTTTGCAATTATGATATGTGTCTCTGTAATGAATTATATTTTGACTTATCTTTTGGAATTTAATCATAGTCTTATATAGCATTATTAAATCTCAATTAGTCTAATAGCCTACTTATACTTAGTGCAGTAGTGGCTTAATGGATACAAATCATTACAAGTCATCTTCGTCGTATACATTTATACTAGTAGAGGATGGATAGATAGCCAATTCCAAATTCCTTAATTTGGCCACACACGCTTTGAATTCTGTTCTACCACAATTGTATAGTCTATTCTTTATTTCAACAAAAAAGCTGTCATTAACTATTTGCTAAAATGAGTTTCAAATTTTGGAAGGTGTAGATTCGATCTTCTCGACCAGACTATTAAATGCATGTTTTTTTTTGTTTTTTCTCTTTTGAATTTTATTTTCTTTATGGTTTAGTTATTTTGTAGTATTATTTTAAATTGTACCGTCGTCTTCCGTAATAAATAAATAAAAAGTGGAAGAGCCTAAAAAAAAACATTCGTCTATCTTCATTATAAAAAAATACGAAGCTTAACTTCTTTCAGGAGAGATTCACTCGAATCCGGATCCGAATTACGGCGACTGATCTTATCGTGACGGCACCGGAATTTTCGGAGAGATAGAGAGAAGCAGCTACTCCCTTCACTTACGGTGGTTGTTGTACAAATGGGTTGCGTTAGCTCGAAGCAGACGGTCTCTGTTACGCCTGCGATCGATCACTCTGGCGTCTTCAGAGACGATGATATTAATGAGTGTTCTGGATCGGGTCGGGTTGTCTTGGAGGTTCCGCCTCGCCCGACGTTGAAGAAGCTCGTCTCGTGGAGGAGTAAGAGTGGGAAGAGGAGGAGTCAGAAGAGCGGTAGTGAGTTGGGGAGCGAGTCGGGGCGTGCTAGCGACTCGCTGAGTTTCAGGCTCGGCAATTTCAGCAGATACCTTGAAGCTGAGCAGGTCGCTGCTGGTTGGCCTGCGTGGTTGAGCAACGTTGCTGGTGAAGCTATCCATGGTTGGGTTCCGCTTCGATCCGACGCTTTCGAAAAGCTCGAGAAGGTTCCAACTTTTGTGAATTATGTTGTGTGTTATGCGAATGTTGTTGTTTCGTTTTTGGTTCAATGGAAGAAGGACTTTGTGAAATTTAATGGAGTTTAGATTTGGTTTATGTAGATTGGACAAGGTACGTATAGCAGCGTGTTTCGTGCGGTAGAGACTGAAACTGGGAGGATTGTGGCATTGAAGAAGGTGAGGTTTGACAATTTTGAGCCTGAGAGTGTTAAGTTTATGGCAAGAGAGATTTTGATACTTAGAAGACTTAATCATCCCAACATTATCAAACTGGAAGGTTTGATCACTTCAAAACTGTCCTGCAACATACAACTCGTCTTCGAGTATATGGAGCATGATCTTACTGGTCTCCTTTCTTCTCCTGACATCAAATTTACCACACCACAGGTTGGTTCGATTTTTTTATTATGTTGGGGAGTTTTGTTTTATGTATTTGGTTGTGTGATCATTGCTTTTCCCCCCCTGCAGATTAAGTGTTACATGAAGCAATTGTTGTCTGGGCTTGATCATTGCCATTCACGAGGCGTGATGCATCGGGACATAAAGGGTTCAAATCTTTTGTTGAGTAATGAAGGAATACTAAAGGTGGCTGATTTTGGGTTAGCAAACTTCAGCAATTCTTCTGGGCACAAGAAGAAACCTCTTACCAGTCGAGTTGTGACTCTGTGGTATCGTCCACCTGAACTTTTGCTCGGGGCAACGGACTATGGAGCATCTGTTGATTTGTGGAGCGTTGGTTGTGTTTTCGCTGAGCTGCTTCTTGGAAAACCTATTCTCCGGGGAAGAACTGAGGTAAAACATTTAACACTGTCTTCTATTGTTTATGATATTGGACCTTTTGGTCATGGTCCATGGACATCTTCTGTTTTACTTGGTGGAAAATAATATACTCAGTGCTATTTCTTGAATTGTATGGAGCAGGTTGAACAGCTACATAAAATCTTCAAACTGTGTGGATCTCCACCAGAAGATTACTGGAAAAAGTCCAAACTTCCCCATGCAATGCTTTTCAAGCCTCAGCAAAACTATGATAGTTGTCTCCGGGAAACCTTGAAGGATTTGTCTGAGACTGAAATCGATCTGATAGAAACACTCCTTTCAATAGATCCCCACAAACGTGGTACTGCCTCTAGTGCCCTTGTTTCACAGGTAATCCTAGCTGAAAATGATTTGATTTCCGTGGAAACTAACCATATTTACTATATTTTGCTCATCGTTTACAAATTGAGACGTTGTCTTTTGTTTCTTCTTCAGTATTTTACTACGAAGCCTTTTGCTTGTGATCCCTCAAGCTTGCCAATATACCCACCTAGCAAGGAGATAGATACAAAGCATCGGGACGAAGCAACAAGGTTGGAAATTTCTCTCGCTACCTGATAGAAAATCATGACCATATCACCTCTTTAATCAGAATAAATTAAAACTTAAAACACAGATTCCGTAGCTCTGGGAGATTATCCATTCCACCATATTGGTTGGCCTTCCATGTCAGGTCTTAGAAAGTTAAAAGCATTTGTAACATCCTCCATTTTCATGTCTGATTTTCAGGAAAAAAATTAGCGGGAATGGGAGACGTGGTGTAGATGCGAGGAAGCCATCACGGAACGCCCATTCATTCAATAAATTGGCACCAGTTGAGGTACTTCCTAGTTACTCACTTGTCTACATGTTATCTGTATCGTGAGAGTATCCTCGTACAAGAAACTGAAATGTGCTCTCTTTTCTGCTTGCAGGACGCACAGAACCAAACTGAAACTTTTCACAAACGAATTGGTCATTTAGTTCATAATTCGATTGGAAGTGATGCCAGGTTATGTGGGAAGCTGCAAAACCCATTAGATCACAAGAAAGACGAAGCTTCCCATATGAAGAATGCCTCACAAGGAGATGTACCTTTCTCAGGGCCATTACAAGTCTCTAAATCAAACAGTTTTGCTTGGGCGAAACGAGAAAAGGATGATGTATGTGTTAGGGTACATAATCGATCGCTCTCAAGAGGTCACATTCGTAACTTGTCGGGACATTCGCCCGCCTTCAATGGGAAAGGTAATGTTGGATCTAAGATAAATAAGAACGAAAACGAGGACAAGACAGATTCTCAAGGCCATGAGTCATATGAGATGGTAAAGCGTTCTATGCTGCAGCAGTGGAGACAACTTGAACGTCCAGATTCTTTTGGTGCGTCTGACGAGTATCACTCGCAAGAACTCTCACTGGGACTCTATCAGAGAGATGAAATGGCAACAAAGCTGGGTAATAATTTGGTACGTCTATAGATTATAGAAGCGCTAAATGTACCTTCTAGTTAATTTGATATGCAAATTCCATATAGAAGCTTATTATATGCATTGCTTCTGTGGCAGTTTAGGGCTGTTGACAGACATAGTAGAGACTAAGTAAAGCTTTGTGCCTTACGTTTTTTCAGGTGAAACTTAAAAATTGGCTACACTTTTTCTTATGCCTTACTACCACTGTCAAAATCGATTCTATCAGAAATAAAATGAACGTAATCTAAAGATATGATTGCACTACTGCTGTAATCGTTATATACATCTAAGTGATTTCGGAGATTATATGAGCTATTTGATATATACAACAGACATATAAAGTACGGTGTAACTGGGATAGACAGCTCAAAAAGTAGGAAGACAGGACCAGATTACAGTTTGTAGTCGGATCCTGTTTCCTCAGCTATTTAATCGTTTCTGTTTTTTCTCTCTCTCTCCACGCTTTCCACCTAAAGTTCAGAGGAGAGAGAAAAAAGTAGGCATGATTTAGTTTGTCTCCTTTTTGGGTTTAGTGACAAGCATGCTCAATGATGCTGATAACTTAAGCCTTGACATGACAGGTTGATGGAGACAAGATCGAATTCTCGGGCCCTTTGTTGTCTCAATCTTATGGAGTTGATGAGCTTTTGGAACGTCATGAACGCAACATTCGCAAGCTAATTCGAAAACCGTGGTTCCAGAAAGGTAACTTAGTTCTCCTCGTTAGCAGACTATATCCTTCATTGTGTCTTGGTTCTTCTCTTTTACAAAATTGCTATTTTTCTTAGCCCAAATAGGCAAACTGGTAGAGCATAAAAGATTTCATCTTTCTCGATAGATTCCAAGACAAACAAATATTACTTTTCTCATTTGAATTGTAACTTGTACAGTGGAATTTGATTCAGCCTTCCGTTTGGTTTTTTTGGTTTATTAGATAATGAGTAAGAAAATCTCTGAAACATGAGCAAGTGTGTTGGTCCTTTGAACTTGCAGATAAGAAACAGGGGAAGTGACTGTAATCACAAATGTCGCAAGGAGATGGAGAAAAGAGCTCCAAGCACTCTAGAGAAACCACGTTTGGATCTTCAGGACCTGTGACTATCAAGCAAGATGTAGAGAAGGAGGCCATTAAGCATTCTTTTGTTGTTAATTATGTATGATTTATTCTTTAAGTTATAATATGAAGGTGTACTTTTTGAGAGCCTATTCACGTATTATTTGATTCAGAGGCAACAATGTACAGAGCTCAGTTCCTAGAATATTATAAGCAGTGTCTGTAGGCATTTATATAGACAGCTCTATGCTTTCTTTAAGTCTAGATGTACGACAGATTTATATTATAAAATACACAACTGTATTATACAAATATAGGACCATCTTCTTTTTCATGCTAGTGATCTGTAGTTTACTGGGAGAAGTGGAATTAACTTGCAAATACTTATTAAATACATCTTTTATATATAATATTATATTTTGCATAAAAATATATTTCTGAAATTTCTGAAATTTCTATAATATATAATATTATATTTCTGAAATTCTACATATTTTCTATCAGTTGATTATGAATTGAAAAATGATTAATGAAGGCACACTTAAATTAATCCTCTTGGGACCATCTTAGTTCTATCAGAAAAAATAAATGTTGATTTAATTTGTGAGAACCAAACTTCATCTGAAACAAATTCAACTGTTGATTATAAAACTACTCACCGTTACATTTAGCATTGTAAAGAGGTAACACAGGAAACGTTACATTTTCTTATTTTCTTGGAGTTGGTAAATATCATCATTGTATGCAGCACCTTCTGTGTGTTGATTTAATCTACTCTCTACCATTGTAAAAACATTCTTCTCGGGTTGGTTCCATAGAAATTTACTTGTGTTCCGAAGCCTCAAGAAGCTTCGGCTTTGTTAACCAATACTGCGCGAACCTTTGTCTTGCATACTCCATGTAGTCAAAGTCGATCTCATTAACATGTTCCTGTCAAGTTTTTAAAATGAAGATCAAAATCAAGAATCTATATGGATTCACAAAATGCAGGTTTATTAGAAGAGAACTGTAGAAATTACCGATATAATTCCCCATAAACCCCAAGTTAGATGACTAGCAAGTGTATATTTCTCAACATCTTCTTTGAGTTTTTCGACCATAGCATCGCTGGGCTCTTCACCTGGACTCACGTAGAACGGAGACAATAGAGAATTAAAGCTGTATACTGATTGATTTCTAAAGCTCATAGGGAGAAAGTGTGATAAAATAATCACCTGAATAACTCATATATGTTTTCAGAAATTGTTGACGCTCCTCCACCCCTGTTTATTAAGATATATGATTGGTCTTGTATCATTTCAAAAGATAAATAATACGACTTCACATAGACACTTACCAGGGTATTTACTATATTCCATGATGTGAGGTGTTTCAGTGTGGTAATCGGCAGCCATCTCGCAGAAGTGGTTGGCAATGTCGTAAGCCACAGGATTGTAGCACGAATATTCATAATCCTATTTTTTTTTATGAGACAAGGTAACAAAATCTGAGTTAGGATCCATATTCTAGCAATGCCATTAAATAAATTTATGAAACCTTACAATGATGGTTATTGCTTTGGTCTCTTCATCCATCATTATGTTTCCATACTGTAAATCATTGTGGCAAAATCCAATATTTTCATCATTGTTAAAGAGAGATTTCTCAAGCAAATTAATTTCCGTCTCCATAACATCGAGACGAAAGGACTTAGCTTCTTCTGGTGAAGCCAGTCTCTTGCATGCAGTAAGCCAATTTCTAAAAGTTACAGAAAGGAAAGTGGAGAAACAGAATCAGAAAGACCAAAAAGTTGATGATTTATTAGAAAAACATAGTAGAACAGTGAAATGTACCGTAATCTGTCCCAAAGCAAAGCCCTCTTCACACCAGGCATTTCAAGACCGTGAAACTCCTTCATCCTAGTCGCTATTCGACCAGATATGGCCGGATCACGCAAGTCAGCAGCAGACAGGGTCTGAAAAGTTCATAGTTTAACAAAGAAACTAAAAATTCAGTAAACAGAACATCCACAAGAACTACCTAAAATTTAGAAAAAATCAGGGAGGTGCAACGACATGCTATAGCTTAGGAACACAAGGGCATTTCAAAGAATAAGCTATATATAAAAAAGATATACCCGTGCATTGAGGAACTCTTCGATACGACCATTGCCAAAGCGTCCTAACAACAATGGTCCATGACCATGGTTAGACATGAACTCAAACGTCCTGATCTCATCCTCTCGGTCAAAGAAGATGTCAACACCTTCACCATAAATCCTAACCAAAACCTTACGGGAAGGACCTTTTTCCCTAGTTGGCCATTTGATCTGAAAGACCTCATTGGTCATTGCACCTTTCAAAGGAATAACTTGCAAAGCCTTTGAATCAATCACGTCTTCCCACTCTGATGCTATTGCTTGTAAAGCTTCCTTGACTTCGCGAGGCAGACGATACTCTTTATTCTCTACGTTCTTCTCAGTAGCACCCATCGTCATTTGATTACCACACTCAGGTAGTTACTGTGTACAGGATCAAAACAGATACTTCAAACAAATACTTCCGATAAAAAGTGTGTTTTTTTCAATCCAGGGGAAGCTCTAAGCAAAAATTAGGAGTTTTATTTATATGATCAGCTCAATGCAACAAATCCGCAGGCTCCTAAAATTTCTAAATTCCAATCAAAAACTATAAGATTAATTTCCTGACTAATCTAGATAAAGTTTCTACAATACAATGGGAACAAATGGTTTTCTTTTTTAATTTCAATCAATCTTTATACTTAGCTCCTCCACAAGCCGATCTATACTTTGATATTAACAAGTCTCGGCAAAAGGAAAGAAAGAAAGCTTACGTTTTTTGAAGACGATGGATACAAGAGCACGATTGGTCTGAAAGGCAAATTGAAGAAGAGTGGTTAATGGGTTAATGGAGAGATATGATCATGGAGTTTGAGAGAGAGAGAGAGTGAGAACGTTGAGCAGATCGAGGAAGAAGAACAGAGGATAGGATCAAGACAATCTTGTGAAGAAAAAAGAAAATAGCGGAGGAAATGAAGGACTATTTGTTAAATATTATATAAAGTTATTAAAACTTACTATAGAAATATTTTCATTTGACTCCTTTAACTTATACAAGGCTCCCTTTTCTGGACATCTATTTTCAGAGCGTCCAAATATAATTTCATTCTATTTATGTGTTATTTTTTTTGAAGACGTTAATTTATGGCTTAACTAGTGATGGACCCGCACGTACGTGCGGGGTTAATTTTACAAAATTACGATTTTTTAATTAAATGTTATTTTGGTAAAATTTTGTTATAGGAGTTGATTTGATAAACTATATATAGACATACAATTTTAAAATATAGATATTATATTACATAATTCAATTTCAAAATTATTTAAATGAAAATGATAAATGATATTACGTGTTTATTTTTTAAACTAATCAAAACATTTCTAACTGTTTGTTTAGAGATGTTAAATCGGATTTGAGTTTGGCTTTAGTTTGAATTGTTTTATGTATAGTTTAGAATGGAAAACCCGTCCTATCCCTTTCCGTCTCGTCTTCACTCGTCCCGTCTCACCCCGTCCCGTCCCGTCTTCTATCTGTCGTAAACTTTCTGTCCCATAATCGTTTCTTTTTAAAACATAATCATTTGCCAATGTTTATTATAAGAAACTTGGTAAAAGATTTAGACGGGATACCCGTATTCTTTGTTTAAATATTTATTTTTATTAAACTAATAAAAATCTAATTATCAATCTAAGTCACATGCTCCCACCATTTTCATTCACAAGGCACTGTCTATAATCCTAGCATACACAATCCTTCTTCGATTTTTAATTTATTGATCTTTCAGTTTCATCTTTGTTTCTTATTACTTTCTTCAATTCAAAGATTCACGTTTTAGCCTTTTTGTTTTCTAAAGATTTAGGTATTTCTATATTTTTTTAATACATGGATTTATTTTAGTTTTGTTATCCGAAGTATACGTTATCTTCTTGTACCCGTCATTTCATGTCTAAATATTTGAAATAAATAGAAAAGTGGAAATTAAATTTAGCAATTTAAATTACATGTCCCCGTATCGTACTCGTAGTTTTATATTTGAAAGTTGAAAGTGAATTTAACTTTATGACCGTGTCTCATAACAATTATATCTAATCATGTTTTTTTTGTATGAGAAATAATTCAGATAATATTTGTTTTCGAATTATATGTTCCCGTCTCGTATGCATTCCTATAATTTTATATATATTTTTTAAAATAAATAAAACCATTTTTATGTAACTAAATGTAACTTTAATATATGTAAAATTTCATATAATCGTCTAAAAGTAGAGATTTATACGCTCCAAAGTTGAATTTTGTTCAATATTTTGAGATTTTGAGAATTAAATATAACTACCAATTTTTTTTATTTCAACCGGTTATCCAAAAATTATATATTATATTTGTCAAGGATAGTTTAAAAGTGTACGTATATGTGAGATAATGTTTGTACATATTTATTTATTATATAATTTATATCATACCAATTTGACATTTTATTTGTTTTCAATTAGATTAAATCATAAAAATATAATCCATTTATTATTTAAAAATTGGTAATAAGTAGTTAAAATCATTTAAATGTGATATATCCAATTGTTATTTAGTTTTAATCATTTGTGGTAATAAGTCGTTAAAATCATTTAAATGTTTTATGATTTGATAAAACAATTCTGTAATATTTGATAATAGTATTGATATGCAAATTGCCAATGGATGAAGATTTATTTTGTTAAGATTGTGTGAAATTAATAATAAAAAAGAAGTTTAGAATAATCATTAACTAACTGCTTGACCAAATAGAAAATCATTAACTAATTGAATTAATGATAAATTTTGTAGATATCTTTTATGCTATAATTGCTAGATTGCTTTTTGAATATGAATATTTTTTTATGTGAAAATAAGAAATTTATGTGATTTACAATGTTTATTCGCATGATTTTAGCAAAAAAAATATTTAATTATCGATTTAATTAAATCTTATTTATATTTTAAAATTATATAATTTTTTAAAATTTGATGATATGATCAGTTATGTATATATATACTATGTAGAATTTGATTAGTTGATTATTTCATAAGCTAACATATTTTTTTATCTTTTTTATTTTTCTAAAAAAATGTTATATTTGTTTTTTAGATATATGATGATTTTGTTTTATTAGATTTCATTCTATATAAATTATTAATTTCGAAATTATATTAAAATATTAAATTAATATTAGATAAGTTTATATATATTCAAAATAGATATGTTTATATATATTTAATTTTGAATTTAATTATCCACTTTTTATGATAAAAGATTATTATGATTTCCATAAATATAGATACTTGTTTTTTTGTTTTTTTTGTTTTACTGTCATTAATTCTGTTTGGGTTTGGCTTCAAGTTATCCTTCCCAATTAATAATATAGATATCTCTTCAGCTATTGTGCGAAAATTAAATTCCTGCGGCAAGCGTTAAATATATACAAGTATAAAACCCAGGAGAGCGAGTACTATTTAGAAAAAAAAGAAACAAATTCCACGGTGTCAAAATATAAGAAAAAAGTCCACGTGGCATCGACCTGTCGTATCACAAAAAAGTGTAATTGACATTTGTTCTCTCACTGACGAAGGGTCTAGTAGGTTCTAGTTTCGATAGGGAAGAAGAAGCGACTTGAACTCTCTATCTTATTCCAGATTAATCTCCTTCCCTATACAAAAATGCTCTCTTGCCTCTTCGCTCTCTCACAATATTCACAAAGTTTCCAATCATCTCCAGAAAAAAAAAAATCCTATCAAAAATCTACTTTGAGTCTCTGCGTAAAATAAGGGAAGAGGAGAAGAAGAAGTTGTCTGATACATCGAAGAAACCCATTTCTCAAATCTTTTAAGGTAAATGGTCTAATACTATTTTCACTGATTCTTCTTCTTCCTGTGTTTTTGTTTTCTTGGAGATTGGTTCTCTATGTTTGTGGAAAGTTGCTGAGATTGGTGTTTGTATGCGTGTGTGTTTTCAGGGATTACAGAGGCTGATTCGAAGATGAATCCGGAGAAATTTACACACAAGACTAACGAGACGATTGCTACAGCTCATGAGTTAGCTGTGAATGCAGGACATGCTCAATTCACTCCCCTGCATTTGGCTGGTGCTTTGATCTCTGATCCCACCGGTATATTCACTCAAGCTATCTCTAGCGCCGGCGGCGATAACGCAGCTCAATCTGCTGAAAGGGTGATCAACCAAGCCTTGAAGAAGCTTCCTTCGCAGACCCCTCCACCTGATGACATTCCGGCGAGTTCTAGTCTCATCAAGGTTATACGCCGTGCTCAAGCTGCTCAGAAGTCACGCGGTGATACTCATTTGGCTGTTGATCAGTTGATTATGGGTATTCTCGAAGACTCTCAAATCAGGGATTTGTTGAACGAAGTCGGTGTTGCTACGGCGAGGGTCAAGTCTGAGGTTGAGAAGCTCCGTGGGAAAGAAGGGAAGAAAGTGGAGAGTGCTTCAGGGGATACAAATTTTCAAGCTTTGAAGACTTATGGAAGAGATTTGGTTGAGCAGGCTGGGAAGCTTGATCCTGTCATTGGTCGTGACGAGGAGATTAGAAGAGTTGTGCGGATTCTTTCAAGGAGAACAAAGAACAATCCTGTGCTTATTGGAGAACCAGGAGTTGGTAAAACAGCTGTGGTTGAAGGTTTAGCACAAAGGATTGTGAAAGGAGATGTGCCCAATAGTCTTACTGATGTGAGATTGATTTCTTTGGACATGGGTGCATTAGTTGCTGGTGCTAAATACCGAGGAGAGTTTGAAGAAAGATTGAAAGCTGTTTTGAAAGAAGTTGAGGAAGCTGAAGGCAAAGTGATTCTCTTTATTGATGAGATCCACTTGGTTCTTGGTGCTGGGAAAACTGAAGGGTCGATGGATGCAGCTAATCTGTTCAAGCCCATGTTAGCTAGAGGTCAGCTTCGATGTATTGGTGCTACAACGCTTGAAGAGTATCGGAAATATGTTGAGAAAGATGCTGCCTTTGAGAGGAGGTTCCAACAAGTCTATGTCGCTGAGCCAAGTGTGCCTGACACTATTAGTATCCTTAGAGGGCTCAAAGAGAAATATGAGGGACACCATGGTGTGCGAATCCAAGACAGAGCTCTTATAAATGCTGCTCAGCTCTCTGCTCGTTATATCACTGGTATGTTAAGATCCTTAATCAGTGGCTGATGTTAGTAGTTTCGTATAGTTTTTTTCTTGGCATGACGTTTTTGTGGTCTTTGTGTGATTGATCATCAGGTCGGCATTTACCTGACAAAGCGATTGATTTGGTTGATGAGGCTTGTGCAAATGTGAGAGTCCAGCTTGATAGTCAACCTGAAGAGATTGATAATCTTGAAAGGAAGAGGATGCAACTGGAAATTGAACTTCATGCCTTGGAAAGGGAGAAGGACAAAGCCAGCAAAGCTCGACTTGTGGAGGTATGATACAGTTTTTTTTTATCAGTTTAGTATGTAGGATAATTACCTTTGTTCTGCAATATTTGCTTGTTATCATTTTCTTTTAAGAAGAGTCTCTAATATAGTTTTTTGTCCAACTATGAATTTTTAGGTGCGGAAAGAGCTTGATGATCTGAGAGACAAGCTTCAGCCTCTGACGATGAAGTACAGAAAGGAGAAAGAGAGAATTGATGAGATTCGAAGGCTAAAACAGAAAAGGGAAGAGCTCATGTTTTCATTGCAGGAGGCTGAACGAAGATATGATCTTGCAAGAGCTGCTGATCTAAGATATGGGGCAATCCAAGAGGTGGAATCTGCAATTGCCCAACTTGAAGGAGCTTCTTCTGATGAGAACGTGATGCTCACAGAAAACGTAGGGCCTGAACACATTGCTGAGGTTGTGAGTCGTTGGACAGGGATTCCAGTGACGAGACTTGGCACAGACGAGAAGGAGAGGTTGATTGGTCTTTCTGATAGGCTGCACCAAAGGGTTGTTGGACAAGATCAAGCGGTCAATGCTGTTTCTGAGGCAATATTGAGGTCACGAGCAGGGCTAGGAAGGCCGCAACAACCAACTGGATCATTCTTGTTCCTTGGCCCAACTGGTGTTGGCAAAACTGAGCTTGCTAAGGCTCTTGCTGAGCAACTCTTTGATGATGAAAATCTCTTAGTTCGGATTGATATGTCGGAATATATGGAACAACACTCTGTCTCTCGCCTTATCGGGGCACCACCTGGGTAAGTAGCTAATCCTTTACTTTTCAGAATTTTGCGTTATGAAGTCTTCTCTTTCATACTCACATGGTTGGACTGTCTCAGGTATGTTGGTCATGAGGAAGGTGGACAACTAACAGAGGCTGTTAGGAGGCGACCTTATTGTGTCATACTCTTTGATGAAGTGGAAAAAGCCCATGTTGCTGTCTTCAACACACTCCTCCAAGTGTTGGATGATGGTCGATTGACAGACGGGCAAGGGAGGACGGTCGATTTCAGGAACTCTGTGATAATCATGACATCAAACCTTGGCGCAGAACACCTCCTTTCAGGGCTAACAGGGAAAGTATCAATGGATGTGGCTAGGGAATGTGTGATGCGGGAGGTAAGGAAACACTTCAGACCGGAGCTCTTGAACAGGCTTGACGAGATTGTGGTGTTCGATCCCCTCTCACATGATCAGTTGAGGAAAGTGGCCCGGCTTCAGATGAAAGATGTTGCTGTCCGGCTTGCTGAAAGAGGAGTTGCTTTGGCAGTCACTGACGCTGCTTTGGACTACATTTTGGCTGAGAGTTATGACCCGGTAAGTACTTTATTTAATATCTATAGTGCGCTAATCTCCTAGGTTGGACTGGTCTTTTGGCTGACTCTTGTGGTTATGCTTGTGCCGTATGGTTAGGTGTATGGGGCTAGACCTATAAGGAGATGGATGGAGAAGAAGGTGGTGACAGAGCTGTCAAAGATGGTCGTGCGTGAAGAAATTGATGAGAACTCCACTGTTTACATAGATGCAGGAGATGGTGGTTCTGACCTTGTGTACCGGGTAGAAAGTGGAGGTCTAGTGGACGCTTCAACAGGGAAGAAGTCGGATGTGCTAATTCATATTGCTAATGGGACAAAGAGAAGTGATGCAGCTCAGGCAGTGAAGAAGATGAGGATTGAGGAAATAGAAGATGACGACGAGGAGATGGTTGAGGATTAGAAGTCTTGACCTTTAGAGTCTCCAACGTTTAAGTGTGTGTTTTGATGTGTTATGACTTGAGCTTTCACAGTCCGAAGAGAATGCTCTGTTTTGGTTTTGGTTTTGGTTCTTTTGGTAACAATAATGGTGTGGAATTGTAAAAAGTCTTACTTCTTTCTTATTATGTTCTCGTAATGTAAAACAATCTATTACATAAATCCATTACACCCATAATCTTTTGGGCTTTGATACACTGGGATCTTACCTTAGTCAATTATCGGAATAGGTGGTTAAGAGTGTCTTAACAATGTCATCAACCATACCTTTAGCACGGGGGAAGAAGTGGCCACTTCCCGGAACTTCATGATAGTGGAGCCAAGGAAGCTTGTGTGCAATGTAACGTTGCATTGACACAGGCACTAACATGTCCTCATCTCCTTGCCACAAATGAACAGAACCTTCTTTGTTCAAAAACGGATTCTCGAGTTCTACAGGATCAAATTCCCAATTTCCAAAACCCACAATCATGTCACGGTTAATACTCTCATGTATTCCCTGCTGCCTTACTTCTGACCAATGCGGTTTCCTCGATGATCCAAGCTTCAAAATGATATCTTTATCAGGCTGGGACAAGACACCAAGATCTCGGTTGGCGACACTGGAACCCGGGAACCAACGTTGTGTGTTCCACCAGTAAATAAGCCAAGGAGCATAGTGAGCAACACGAACCGCCCATTGATCTCTCTTTGGTTGCAAGTTAAAACCTTGAGTTGAAACGTTCGAAGGCAAGTTCTTCCACCAAAAGTTAACCACAGGAGCAACAAGTGTTACTCCGGCTAACCGGTGAGGGATGTACTTGAGGCAACCCCACGTCGCTTGTCCTCCCATTGAGTTCCCGATCACGTAGAATCTCGATCCTAGACTCAGCTGATCAGCGAGCTCTTCAACATCTAAAGCCAAGCTTTTTGGAGTACGATTTGGATCCGGATCGCTCTCTCCATAACCCGGTTTATCAAACGAAACCATATACACGCTTAGTTCTTCAACTAAACCCTATGGAAAACGAAAAATTGATCAAGAAACTGAGATGAATTCATTTCAGGAATTTGGTATGAATTACTTACCGGAGAGAGCAGAGTGGCAAAAACGGCGTCGTGTCTACAGCTATCGGATCCATGGATAAATACGATTTTGTGTTTAGCTTTGTCTCTCGGGAGTCCATGTTCTTTGTAAGCCAGATACCTCCCGTCTCGCAGCTTTATCCTCGGCGCTGTGATCGGTGGACCACCGGGAGAGCCACATAGCTTCTGTGGTGGAGGTTTCAAGATTGACTGATAAGTGAAGGCCAATATTATTCCAACGATGATGATCAAGCTAGAGGAAAGAAGAAGCCTGTTTCCAGGCCAAGGCTTTGCTAAGCTTCTGCTTGATGATCCAATCGCCATTTCACTGATCAGTGATTAGGTTATGTGACCATCAAGGATATCAAATTACTCAGTGACATGTATATAAAAAGATAACATATCTGATATCTGTAAGCTGTCAAATTAAATGCTAATAATATTTGGCAATGAATTACAACTGTCTGAGACTTCGTTAATTATCTCCAGTATCGTCTGTGACCCCATAAGTAGACTATTTTGGTGAGTGCCACTTGGTTATAAACTTGTAGCACAAGCATGTGCCGTGCTGCAGCACTTAAAGTTTAAGATTAGGCCTAGTTTAGATGTACCAAAAACCTAATTAATGATGTACAGAAACTAAAAGCAAGTAGACAATCAATTAGGTGAATCCTCCGTTCTCTTAACAGAAAGACTAAAACGAGTTGCTAAAAATATCAAAGTAAAGATCAACTAACACGACATAAGCTTGGTCGTTTTGCAAAGTAAATAATGAGTAACCAAATTAAACTAAGTTTAATGATGCTGAACAAAAGTAACGAACACATAACTCCACTGTATCCGTGATTGGTTTATTTTGGGGTTTCTTTTCTAAACATTTTGGAAACTTTAAAAATTAACAATACAAACAGGAGAGGCTCTTCTACTTATTCTCTGCATTGGTGGTTAAGAGCGTCTTTACAATGTCATCAACCACACCTTCAGTGAAGTGGAAGAAGTGGCCACTGCGCGGAACCTCATGATAGTTAACCCATGGAAGCTTATGAGCAAGGTAGCGTTGCAGCGTCACTGGCACTAACATGTCCTCATCTCCATGCCACAAATGCACAGAGCCTTCATTGTTCAAAAATGGGTTCTCGAGTTCTATAGGATCAAATTCCCAATTCCCAAATCCCACAATCATGTCACGGTTAATACTCTCATGTATCCCTTGCTGCCTTACTTCTGCCCAATGCGGTTTCCTCGATGAACCGAGCGTCGAAATAATATCTTTATCCGACTGTGACAATAGACTGTGATCTCGGTTCGCAATACTGGAACCCGGGAACCAATTTTGTGTGTTCCACCAATAGGTAAGCCAAGGAGCATAGTGAGCAACACGAACTGACCGTTGATCTCTCTTTTGTTGAAAGTTAAATCCTTCAGTGGAAACGTTCAAAGGTAAGTTCCTCCAATAATAGTTTACAACAGGAGCAACTAGTGTTACTCCGGCTAATCGATGAGGAATGTATTTAATGCATCCCCATGCTGCCTGTCCTCCCATCGAGTATCCGAGCACATAGAATTTCGATCCTAGACTCAACTGATCAGCTAGCTCTTCAATATCCAGAACCAAGCTCTTCGGTGTACGATTTGGATCCGGATCACTCTGACAATAACCTGGTCTGTCGAACGAAACCATATACACACCTAGTTCCTCTACTAGATCCTACAAAATGAGATTGACCAAGAAATTAACAAAACATTGGATAAGAGTCTAAATCAACAAACACAATCTCTCAATAATAGAAATTGTGAGACAACTCTTTCATTTTTTTTCCTAATTCTTTAGCTCATACACCATTACATGCGACAAGTAACATTACATACCACTAACAAAATTAATGATTAGAGCACAATGATCAAACTATTACATACATACCAGAAAAAAATTAGAAGCATACATGCATAATAATCTTGATACAGTGAAAAGTAAAAATTACCTGAGAGAGGAGAGTGGCGAAAACGGCGTCGTGTCTACAACAATCGGATCCATGGATGAAGACGATTTTGCGGTTAGCTTTGTCTCTTGGAAGACCATGCTCTTTGTAAGCTAAATGCCTCCCATCTCGCAGCTTTATCCGCGGCGCTGTGATCAGTGGACCACCATCTGAGCCACATAGCTTCGGCGGAGGTGGTTTCAACTTCGACTGATAAGTCAACGCCACGATTATTCCAACAATGACGATCACACACGAAGGAAGAAAAAAACTCTTTCGAGACGAAGGCTTTAGTAAGCTTCCGCTTGATGAACCACTCGCCATTTCACGAACGGGAAGACGAACGGAGAGCCCCGGCAGCCAACGGCGACGGTTCTTGAAAGAGAGTTCACTGTTCAAGAATGGATATAATCGTATTTTTTGAACTAAAAAATGGAGAAGCCCATTTATGTTTTGTTTCAGAATCTTCCTTACTGGACCGAGGTTTAAGGCCCATAAGCCCATATTTAATAAAATTTAGCGGAGGGGGCAGCAATATATAAAACCTAATTGATGAATTAGGGTTTCTTCTTCGTTCTCCCCTTGAATTAGCTAGCAGCAGACTTTGTGTTATTCGGCGGAATCGAAAATGGTGAAGGGACGCCAAGGAGAACGTATCAGGTCTTTCTTCTCATTCTCTTTTTGTTCTTCCTCGAGTTTGATCTATCACCAAGCTGGGTTTTCTATGGCATCACTTGAGATTTGCTCCTTTTTTCTGTTTTTTTTCTCACTTAGCTGAAACTGTTTCTACTTCTCTTGTATTTTCTAGATTTGAAATGACTCTTCATTGTTTGGTAATTTATCGCATCCATTGTAATAGAACATTTTGCTCTCGTATATTGTACAATGATAGATATTGCGAAATCTGACACTTATTTTCTTTTCTAATGTTATCATTTTGCAGACTCTACGTCAGAGGAACCATCCTCGGATACAAAAGGTGACCAGTTTATTCAGTTTTCATTTTACACTGTTTTTTAAGTTTTTGATTAGGCTTCAATACTATTCCATGAAATGAAACTTGTTCAGTAGTGTAAGTGAAGTTCATAGTATCGTATCCTATTAACCAAGATTCTAGTCAACTTTTGATCAGATTAGTTTACTGATACATGTCACAGAGTTCAGAATTTTTTGGTGTTGTAGAATCTCCTTCATTGACATTTACTTTGAATGCTGACATTATTTATTTTAGGCTCTTGTCTATATCATTCGGTCTAGGACTATGATTTTTGTTTAACGAGTTCTGGTTAATTAGCATGCTGAACTGAGTTCATATTCCAATGCTACTTGTCTGATATTTACTTGTATGAGCAGGTCCAAGTCCAACCAATATCCAAACACATCGCTTGTTCAGATCGAAGGTGTCAACACTCAAGAGGAGGTGAACTGGTACAAGGGAAAGAAGATGGCTTACATCTACAAGGCTAAGACAAAGAAAAATGGTAGCCACTACCGTTGCATCTGGGGAAAAGTTGCCAGGCCTCACGGTAACAGCGGTGTTGTCCGTGCCAAATTCACATCGAACTTGCCTCCTAAGTCCATGGTACATAAAACAGATTCTGTCCTAGCTAATTCATCCTTTTATTTTTTTGAGAGAGAAGTGAAATTTTGGGGTTTTAACTGGTTCCTTTAAAATTCTTGCAGGGAAGCAGAGTGAGAGTCTTCATGTACCCGAGTAACATATGAAGCAATGCAAAATGGCTTAAACTTATAATTTAGCCGCCTTGGTTTTGTTTACTAGTTTGTTATTTTGTATTTGATATTGAAAGCATTTCCTTTCTTTGTTTGAAGTTTTTTTGGAGATTCTCTAAATAGACTTTAATCATGGATCTGGTTTTTAATCCCGAATTAGAATCGTTTTTTCTCCCCACTTATATTGAGTTGAAACATGTGAATCTCATGGTCTCATTTCTTAATTCTATAAATAAGCATATGAAGTCACATGATCATATCCTTAACATATACATTTAACTCCACAGTATTAGGTGTGGAGGATATTAAGGAAAAGATGTGATCATCATTAGCTCTCCAGATTTAGTCTTAGCATGTGTTAAAAAAGTCCCAAAAGCCGAAATCGAAATCTCTCAAAAATACAAAAAAGAACATGAGCCGATGTAAGTTGTGATCGGAAACATTGGGACTGGATTTGTAACGTCGGCCCATTGGATGTTTATTGGGCTTAGCTAGGCGCAACTTAAAAAAATTGTAATCAGAATTTTGTTCTCCAGTAAACAAAAAAAAAATACCAACAAACCTAATAAGATTCGTTGAGAAGAGACCAGACAAGAACTGCGTGTCGACTGCCGTACTACTCTCTCGGAGTCGGAGCTTCGGTCCCGTTAAGACAGTAGCAGAGAAAAACCCTAAACCCCATTTTCCGATTTATTTCTTCTTCCAGCCATCTCTCTCGTGATGAATACCTCCCAAGCAACTCGTGCGGCTCTGTTCCTTAACGTAAATATTCTCTTACTTACTCTTTTCAGTGGTCCAAGTTTTGTATCATCCATTGATTTATGAACTTATAATATCCCTCGTTCTACTGCATAAACGTATCGTGGATTGATTATTAATAGAGATGATTTCGAAAAGTACTGACAATTTGAAGTTGTGTTGATGTTGTCAAGTAAAATGGAGGGAGTTGAATGCAGTAACTTAGGACTCTAATCTCGTAGAAACTTTGTATAATTTGGCATCCGTAACGTTTTCGTTTTGACAAGTTAATGGTTTTTGCAGGGTTCAAATAGACAAGCGATGCTTTTGCAGCGGAGCTCAACCAGTCAATTATGGGGTTCTGCTAGAACGAGAGCTTCAGGGCTGTCTCTGAATCGTACAAAGGCTGTTAGCTTGAGATGTTCTGCTCAACCTAATAAGCCTAAAGCAGCCGTTTCTGCTGGTTCTTTTGTTTCTGCTGATGAGCTACCGAGTTTGGTTGAGAAACCTGCTGCTGAGGTTATCCATTTTTACCGTGTGCCGTTGATTCAAGAAAGCGCAAATGCTCAACTCCTCAAGGCGGTTCAAACCAAAATCTCCAACCAGATTGTCAGTATGACTACGGAACAGTGTTTCAATATTGGGCTTGAATCGGAGTTAAAAGATGAAAAGCTCTCGGTTCTGAAGTGGATTCTTCAGGAAACATATGAGCCAGAAAATTTGGGTACTTTTCTTGTCATGCTACTTTTTCTCTTTGGTTACATAATTCTCGGGGTTTTGTGTTGTTGATGGTTGAGTTAAATTGCAGGTACGGATAGTTTTCTTGAGAGGAAGAAGCAGGAAGGACTCCATGCTGTAATTGTTGAAGTTGGTCCCAGATTGTCTTTTACAACTGCATGGTCAACCAATGCAGTTTCAATATGTAGAGCATGTGGGTTAAACGAGGTGACTCGCTTGGAGAGGTCGAGGAGGTACCTTTTGTTCAGCAAGGAGCCACTGTTGGAAAATCAAATAAAGGAGTTTGCTGCAATGGTGCATGATAGGATGACCGAGTGTGTGTACTCTCAAATGCTGACTTCATTTGAGACAAATGTGGTTCCAGAGGAAGTTAAGTATGTGCCGGTGATGGAGAAGGGTCGGAAGGCGCTGGAAGAAATCAACCAGGAGATGGGTTTAGCCTTTGATGAGCAAGATTTGCAGTATTATACTAGGCTTTTCCGAGAGGACATCCAGCGTGATCCCACCAATGTGGAGCTCTTTGATATCGCTCAATCCAACAGCGAGCACAGTCGACACTGGTTCTTTGCTGGGAACATGGTTATTGATGGAAAGCCAATGGATAGGTCTCTTATGCAGATTGTAAAGAGCACTTGGGAGGTAACGATAAAGGACTTTAGTCAAAATTTCTCTCCTTTTCTATAGCTTGAAATTTTAGTTCAAATCAATTCACTCTTCTCTTTTTTGTTCAATTTTGCAGGCAAATCGAAATAATTCGGTCATTGGGTTTAAGGATAACTCTAGTGCTATTAGAGGCTTTCTGGTTAACCAGTTACGGCCTCTACTTCCTGGTTCTGTGTGCCTACTTGATGTCAGTGCACGTGATCTTGACATATTGTTTACTGCTGAGACCCATAATTTCCCTTGTGCTGTGGCTCCTTATCCTGGTGCTGAGACGGGTGCTGGAGGTAGAATCAGGGATACACATGCAACAGGAAGAGGTTCTTTTGTTGTTGCATCCACCTCTGGTTACTGTGTTGGTAACCTTAACATGGAGGGATCTTATGCTCCATGGGAAGACTCATCTTTCCAATATCCATCGAACCTAGCCTCACCTCTACAGATACTCATCGACGCTAGTAATGGTGCATCTGACTATGGGAACAAATTCGGAGAGCCCATGATTCAGGGATATACCAGGACCTTTGGAATGAGATTGCCAAGTGGGGATAGACGAGAATGGTTGAAGCCAATTATGTTCAGTGCGGGGATTGGACAGATTGATCATACTCATATAACTAAAGGGGAGCCAGAGGTTGGGATGCTTGTTGTTAAGATTGGTGGACCTGCTTACCGCATTGGCATGGGAGGAGGAGCAGCTTCGAGTATGGTTAGTGGTCAGAATAATGCAGAGCTTGATTTCAATGCTGTTCAACGTGGAGATGCTGAGATGTCCCAGAAGTTGTACCGCGTTGTCCGTGCTTGTATTGAGATGGGTGAGAAGAATCCCATTATCAGCATTCATGATCAAGGTGCTGGTGGAAACTGCAATGTTGTCAAAGAGATTATTTATCCACAGGGTGCAGAGATTGACATAAGAGCGGTTGTTGTCGGTGATCATACTATGTCGGTGTTGGAGATCTGGGGAGCAGAATATCAAGAGCAAGATGCGATTTTGGTGAAAGCTGAGAGCCGGGAAATTTTGCAATCGATCTGTAAGAGGGAAAGGCTTTCGATGGCTGTGATTGGAACAATTAATGGGGGAGGTCGCTGTACGTTAATTGACAGCACAGCCGCAGCGAAGTGCAGTAAAGAAGGGCTACCTCCACCTCCACCTGCTGTTGATCTTGAACTCGAGAAGGTTCTTGGTGATATGCCTAAGAAAACGTTTGAGTTCAACCGAATTGCTTATGAACGGGAGCCACTTGATATTGCTCCTGGGATTACATTGATGGATTCTTTGAAAAGGGTTCTGCGATTACCATCAATTTCTTCGAAGCGGTTCTTGACAACCAAAGTGGATAGGTGTGTGACAGGTCTTGTTGCCCAGCAACAAACAGTTGGACCATTGCAGATCACGCTTGCTGATGTTGCAGTTATTGCACAGACGTTCACAGATCTAACAGGTGGTGCGTGTGCCATTGGCGAGCAACCGATCAAAGGCTTGCTTGATCCAAAGGCCATGGCTAGACTAGCTGTTGGAGAGGCTTTGACAAATCTGGTTTGGGCACAGGTCACTGCACTTTCTGATGTTAAAGCTAGTGGTAACTGGATGTATGCTGCCAAGCTTGAAGGAGAAGGATCAGCGATGTATGATGCTGCGATTGCTCTATCTGAAGCGATGATCGAACTTGGTATTGCAATTGATGGCGGAAAAGACAGTCTTTCAATGGCAGCTCAAGCAGACGGTGAGGTTGTTAAAGCTCCAGGAAACCTTGTGATTAGTGCGTATGTTACCTGTCCAGACATAACAAAGACAGTGACTCCCGATCTGAAGCTAGGAGATGATAATGGTATTCTCTTGCATATTGATTTGGCAAAGGGAAAGCGGAGATTAGGTGGATCTGCACTGGCTCAGGTTTTCGGTCAGATTGGAAACGACTGTCCTGATCTTGATGATGTTCCATATCTGAAAAATGTTTTCGAGGGCATTCAAGCTCTCATTGCTGAAAACCTGGTATCTGCTGGACACGACATCAGTGATGGTGGACTAGTAGTGGCAGCTTTGGAAATGGCTTTTGCTGGAAACAAAGGTATAAATCTTGACTTGGCGTCGAATGGAATTAGCCTTTTTGAGACTTTGTTTTCTGAAGAACTTGGTCTCGTGATGGAGATAAGTAAAAAAAACCTAGACGCTGTGATGGAGAAACTCCGTGGTTTCAACGTTACTGCTGAGATCATTGGAAACGTCACTGATTCACCATTGATAGAGGTAAAAGTTGATGGGATTACTCATTTGAGTGAGAAAACTTCATTCCTCAGAGACATGTGGGAAGAGACCAGTTTCCAGTTGGAAAAGCTGCAACGATTGGCATCTTGTGTAGAGATGGAGAAAGAAGGTTTGAAGTTTAGGCATGAGCCTAATTGGAATCTCTCATTTACTCCTTCCTCGACCAACAATAATTATATGTCTCAAGGTATGATCGCTCTCAAAGAGGTGTTTTTGTTTCTTTAATCATCTATAGAGCTTATTTTTTTCCTGATGAAATGTTTATGTTTATTGTATATGCTCTCAGTTGTTAAGCCAAAAGTAGCTGTGATCCGAGAGGAAGGCAGCAATGGAGACAGAGAAATGTCGGCTGCATTTTATGCTGCTGGTTTTGAACCTTGGGATGTGACAGTGTCTGATCTTCTAGCCGGAGATATCACCCTTGATCAGTTCCGCGGTATTGTGTTTGTAGGAGGCTTCAGTTATGCTGATGTTCTCGACTCAGCCAAAGGATGGGCAGCTTCAATAAGGTTCAACGAGTCTGTGTTGAGTCAATTTCAGGAGTTCTACAAAAGACCAGATACGTTCAGTCTTGGAATCTGTAATGGATGTCAGTTGATGGCTTTGTTAGGATGGGTTCCAGGTCCTCAAGTTGGTGGGTCACTTGACACGTCGCAGCCGAGGTTTGTTCACAACGAATCGGGGAGGTTTGAGTGCAGGTTCACCAGCGTGACCATTAAGGACTCACCATCTATAATGCTGAAAGGAATGGAGGGAAGTACTTTAGGGGTTTG